TAATCTATGCAGAAATAGAAGTATAATGATGTACACCTGAAATTTATACAATGTTATAAACCAATGTTACTGCAATAAACAAACAAACAAAAAAGTAATTTGTTTAACACCAAATATGTGCTCACTATTCTGGTTGGCACTTTCAGGAACACTGGGAAAAGTATTACAGCCCTACTGTATCTTTCAGTATCATTAAAGACTATTTATTATAGTAAAAAAAAATAAATAAAAAAAATAAACTAAACAGGACAGTTTCCCAGATCAGCTACATGATTTCCACCATATTCTCATGCCAACTGTCCTATTATCTATTTGACGTTTTTATATTAAATGATACTACTTTAAAACACACAAATACCTGCTTTATATTTGTCCGAGTAATAATTCCATGATCTCACCGGATTGGTATGTTAGTAACAGTTTTTCTAATTCACATGAAGAAAAATAAAGATTAAATTTTAAAATTATTTGTCCATGGAGCAACTAAAATCATCTCTCATATCCCCAGAGATATGTGGACTACACTCTCGAAAATTCCCCTGCTTGAAGAGCTCACGTTGGGTCTGCTTAGATGCGAGGAGATAACGGAAGTGACCTCCCTCTGGCTGCATATGTCTGTGACCGAGGAGACAAGTGAAAAGAGCTGGGGCATCCCCCTGCCTGAGCAGCCCAGACCCACTGAAGCCCTCCCCAGAGCCTCCAGTTACAGCAGCCCCGTGCATCTGGGAATCCTCTAGAAATGGGGGGCTCTCGAACCTAGGAACATAAGTTCCCTTGCTCCCTAAGTTCCCTGAGGACAGTGACTGGAGGGCTGTCACCAACGTAATTTCATCCTCCACAGGAACCACAGGCTTTCCCTTGTCATGGCCCCCAGGGGCTGAGCAGCAGCCATGACTCGGCCCAGGGAACAAGTCTGAGCTCGGAGGATTTGTCCGCATACAGAACCAGCAGAGGCCCCACGCCATCCCACTGCCCCAGAGCATTTCATCTGATGGATATTTGCCTCCACCTGCAGCCCCAGCACTCCCAGTCCTGGGGCCTGTCTCCCAGTGCTGACATGCCTGGTTTATAGAGAAATACCAGAAACTCTGCTGGAGCAAAGTTCAACTTGTGTCAAAGCAAGTAAAGTAGTAACTGGGCTGCTGAGTGAGGCAGTACATCTGAGCAGGGAAGTTCAGGGCTGGCCACAAGCTCTAGCTCTGGCTCTCCTCTGCTTCTCTGAGGGACCCGGGGCCCACCACACCCCACCTTGGCCTCTTGTGTCCCCAACAGAGGACTTTTGGACTCAGTCCCCTGTAAGGACCCTACCATCTCGTCCTTCAGAGCAATGTCCGATGGGGGCAGGGATTACACCCTGCTCGTGTGCAAACGAGCCTTGGTGAGAACTAGACCCTCCCAGGTCACAGCCCCTGAGCAAGCCCTCCCACCAGCTTACCTGGAGCCTGGCCGTCTGGCTGGGACACTGCCGCCTCATTCCTCTGTCTCTCCTTCACTCTGCTGGTGGCTTCCTTGACGAGCTTTTCCCTCAGACTCAAAAATTCAGAAAACCTCCCTGCCTTCTGCTCCCGCTGGACTCTCAGGAGGGACTCCAAGTGTCTGAGAGTCTGAACAGGGATTCCCTTTGCGTCCTAGAAGAGACAGCAGTTCCCCTCTGGAGATAAGGGCACCCCTTCCTCTCCTTCCCCTAAGCCTGTAAACCTGCTGCTGCTGGCCTGGAAGTCACTATCATCAGCACCGGTGCTTCCTGGGAGAGGATGAGATGAGCTTCAGAGCAGGGTGGGCAGCGGCTTCACGCGCTGCTGAAAGGGTGGTGGTTTAGGGTCTGGGAGCCCCATCAAAATGCGTGCAGCAGGATGATGCACAGGACTGCTCGCTTTTCCACTGACATCACAGCACATGGGGCTTAGGTGGGACATGCTTTTCCTCCACCTGACTGAATCCTGGGATGGGCGACCATGGCTTGCTCCTTTTTGTAGCCCAGGCACTATCGTTATGCCAGACACATTGTCCCCCCATGGCTAACAATGTTTGAAAAAATCAACTGCAAAAAACAAAAGCCAGGTACCCTTCTAAGACCTGTTAGAAGTTGCTTGGGCTCTGATATCCACCCAGAGTCTGAACGTAGGGCCAAAGTTAGTGAGCGTCCTTACAAAGTTAAACCTAGGTGTCCATTTTTCTTTCTAATCATACTCTACACAAATAGTATTTTCAATGACATGATCGTTCGGCTACACGCGTCTGGCTACTTTAGTAACGAGGTGTGTTTTTATTTAATAACTGATTTCATTAATGCCTTTCACGGTATTATTCATGTTCTAGTTAAGCACAAGCACGAGGGAACAATTGGTATAAAATACTAATTTGCACCAGACACAGCTTTCAGAGCCTGTCCCACCTGCTGAGTGGGCGTGGCCACGTGTGCCACTGATGATGGACACTCCATCGAAGGGACCCATCCAGAGGTCAGATTGAACCAATTAAATTCCCTCTGTCAGAAAATTTAATTAGAAACACAGAAGAAAGTAACCAATGAGGGGAGAGCACGGAGAGTCAGGGTGCAGGGTGGCGTCGTTGGCCAGGTAGGGCTGATCTCAAGAAGCCATTGGAGACAGAGTAGGGACCACACTGCCTCTGTGAGGTGAGGGGAGAAGCTGGGTGGGTTCACATTATGGACACCAAAGGTGCCCCAATCGGAACAAATAAGAGGAATAGACTTACGGTGTAAAGAGCAATCGATCGTGTGTCAGTTTAAGAACATCTTGTGCCTACACAGTGGGTACCGGCCCTTACAACAGCGGCCCTGGGGCTTACCCTCTTTATCCCCATGCTTTCCAGTTTCTCCTCCAGGGTGTCCTCCAGGACTGGTCTGAACTGCTTCAGCAAGGTGGGGTTTCGCCTCAGAGCTGCCAGCACCTTCTGCTGTCCATCTTGGGAGGCCTCCAGCTCTGCAGCACAGACAGTCACCAAGGTCAGCCTGGGCACCTGCAGCCTCCATTCCCGAAGCCCACTGCACCCGCCTGGCCCTCACTCAGCCAGTGAGCCTGGTCTCCAGCCTGTGAGCCCAGGGCCACTGACCCCGCCCGAGAGTGTCCATTCCCGGGTTAGAAGCTGGGCCTGGGTACCACTGCCTCAGAGCCACCCCCCCGCCCTGCTTCAGGATTCTCATGCCCTGCCAGTCTGGACGTGCAAGATCTGGGCTCAATCCTGCCCAGGATAACTCGGGACATCCGGGCTTTTGACTTCACTTGGGTCCTGACCGCAGCTTGTTCCCTGGGCTCCATTCTAAATCCAGGTTCCAGGCCCTGCCTGCTGCCAGCTCCAGCTTAGTCCTGGCCCCACCCGATGCCCTAATCCCATTGCTGTGCCACTTCTGTTCCCGTCCAGAGGATATAACAGTGGACAGGTTAGATGGGTCCCTGCTGCCTTCAAGTCTGCTGTCTAGATCAGGGGTTCTCCCTCCAGTTGTAGCAAACATCAGAATCACATGGGTTCAAACAGCACATTCCCTGGCCCCACCCTCCAGAGAGTCAGCTTCCACAGGTCTGGGGAAGGGCCCTGGAACCTGCATTTTAACTTGCCCAGATGTTTCTGATGGAGGTGAGCCACAGACCACACCTTAAGAAATCCCGACCCAGAGGGCAACAAAATGAGCAATGACAATAAAATGCGGTAACTGCTGCAGAGGGGCCGTCCAGGGTGAGACAGGGAGGCCTCCCAGAAGCGCTCTTTACGTCCATTGGGGGGCCCCTGCCGTCAGAGCTGGACCAGCCCTTTGATTCACTTGATAGACATTTAGTGGCAAGTAAAAGGAGTGTGAACAGGGGCCGGCCCGGTGGCGCAAGCAGTTAAGTGCGCATGCTCCGCTGCAGCGGCCCGGGGTTCGCCGGTTCGGATCCCGGGCGTGCACCAACGCACTGCTTGGCAAGCCATGCTGTGGCAGCGTCCCATATAAAGTGGAGGGAGATGGGCATGGATGTTAGCCCAGGGCCAGTCTTCCTCAGCAAAAAAAGAGGAGGATTAGCAGATGTTAGCACAGGGCTGATCTCCTCACAAAAAAAAAAAAAGGAGTGTGAACAGGCCAGCGCGGGCTGCTGGGGACACAGAGGAAAACCCTCTCTCTCCCCTCAAGGAGCTCACCGTCAAGGGTGGTGATCGCAGCCCTGGCCGCAGACCCGAATGCCCCGGGCCCCAGACATTACAGCAGAATCTCGGAAGGTGGGCCCTGGCCTTAATTGTTATTTTTAAAACTCCCCAGATCTTCAAACAAACAGCCCAGCCTGAGAACCAACTAGTCTAGAGCAATGATTCTCACAGTGTGAGCCACAGCATTGGCACCTCCTGGTAACTCTAATTTTTCCTACCACATCCCGAAGTTAAGTGCATGGGGTGGGGGTGGGGGTAGTACAGAACTGGTTAAATACATTTTGTTTCCTCCACCCAGCGGAATACTGCAAAGCCCCGAAAAATTCATGAAGCAGCTCTACATAAAGTGATTTCCCAAATAAGCTGTTAAGAAAATAAATAACTACAGAACAACATATATAGTGGGCTCCCATTTGGGAAAAAGGAAAGGAATGCGTACACACGCGTGCTTGTATTTGCACCAGTATCTCTGGAAAGACACATGAGAAACATTAACAGTGGACTCTCCAGGTAGAAACTGGACCCGGCAGGAGGGACACCTTCTTCTCACTGTACATCCTTTCACGGTCTTTCTTTCTTTTTTTTTTTTTTTTTTTTTGCCAACAGCATAAATTACTGTCTCAAAAGTAAAGGAAAATATTGTATTAAAAAACAAAATAAAATACCCGTGATGAACTCTTTGGTGACACAAATAAAACCCTGTCCTGGGTCACGTGTTGGTCACTCTAGAACTGCCATACCCCAGCAGGTTGGCTGTGTGCACTCTCTCATCTTTCCTGCAAGCTCCTTCTCCCTGACTATCCCGGGAGCTCCCTGCAGTCAGGGAGCATTTCTGCTTTTTTCACTTCTCCTTTGCATCCCCTCAAAACATCTGGTTGAGAAATCTGCAAATCAGAGCCAGTCACTGAATGGAGTGAATTAAAACAGCAGGTACTCGGTGCTCTTAAGAGGGGGCCGGACTCCTGCACATCAGTTAGGCCTGCGAGATCTGTCTGCAGCACACTCACGACACAGAACAAAACAGCAAAAGCCATTTTCAGCCAACCAGCAATGCCTCATCCACTGCTCTGGACAGTATTGGGTGAGAGGCAGTGGGGCAGGCACGAGGGACAGGCCATGCATCAGATGCTGCCCCAAATCCTGGCTCCACCACCTGCTCGCTCTGTGACTCTGGGCAAGGCACTGACCCTCTCTGAGCCTGGATTTCCCCATCAGTGAACCAGCAGACTGCATGTTAGTACCTGTGTGTAGCACACCTGACACACACAAGGTGCTTAAGAAATACTTATTTCATGTCCCTAGTTCCCTGCACGCTGTTCAGGTGGCCAGATACAGTTAAGCAAAGCTGAACTACACAATGAGAGGCAGTGAATCTGCTCTCTGCAGTGGACAGCAGGGGAGAAAATGAGGCCCCACCTTCCTCGGAAGAGTCCTCTTCGGTGCCCACAGCCTTCGGGCCCTCGCAGATCCCTGGGGAGAGGAGGAACAGTTAGTGGCTCCAATACATGGACCCCACCCCTGACTCAGAGAAGAGTGTGGGACACCATGTGAGTGGCGGCCAGAAGGAGCAAGCCCTCCAGCCATTTCTTTACCAGAGAGAGACAGGGTGGAGCAGTGGTCACAACCACAGACACCAAAGCAGAAAGATCAGCGTTCACGTTCCCACTCTGCCCCTCACTAGCTGTGCACAACATGGCAAGTCCTTGAGCCCCTCTAAGCCTCAGTCTCCTCATCCAGAAAATGAGGATAATAATACCCACCCCACAGGAAATCGTGGGGACAAGGTAATGAGACAGGAAATCTGAAGTGCCTGGTGAAGTGCATGGCACAAGGCTGTTATTAACGGCACACACAGCAGCCCCAGCAGCCAGGAAGCTCGGGGCCACAGGAACAGTGCCTCTCTGAATTGATTGCAAGACTGGGAAAGAAACGGCTAGCCTCGAGGCAGAGGATGGGAAGAGACGTGTGGGTTTGCAAGAAAAAGCAGAAGGGTAGCTAAAGGGATAGGACAGGGGAGGTGGGTGGAGTAGGATGGGCCAGGCTTCATCAGGGGCTGGTCAAGGGTCAGGAGGGTCAAGGGTCAGGAGCAGTCCCCTGTAGGTTGCCATCTCCCTTTAGACGCCAGCACCTGCACTCCATCACACACTCACAGACTCACACGTGCGCACACACCAGCACTCCAGATCACCCAAGAGGAGGAGAGCGTATACCCCAAACAGGCCACATTCACATAGATTTGGGGTCAACCTGCTACACGCTGGGAACAAGGCAAAGGTCAATGGCCTGAACCACAGGCATGTGAATTAGAAAGAGCTGTTCATGAACCCGGCTCCACCAATCACCGCCCCCAAATTCCCCACCCCCTCCCCAGGTCTCCACCACCCAACAGAGAAGAGCAGGCCAGGCAAGGAACCCTGCCAGCCACGTGGAATGCCTTCAGCACAAACGCCGGGCTGGACCCCTGTCCATCCCAGAAGCAGTTGTCTTCTCAAGCCCCATCACCCAGCCAGAGAGCCTGACACCACAAGTCCACGGGCAGCTGTCACCCATCCTCAGCCTATAAATCGACTGGTCGGGGACAGAAGAGAGAAGAGACAAAGACAACAGCCAAGATTGTTGCAAACCATCCCGTGCAGACTTACCGTCCACCTTCCTGAGAGACATGGTCTGGATCTGCAAAGATGTGGAACAGAACAGGTTAGAGCCAACTAGGAACGCTGCTCTGAGCAGTGAGTCTGCCTAACACTGTGAAGAAGGGACATCTGCTGTTTCCAAGCCACTGGGAACTGGAAGGAGCTCGGAGTACACGGCCCCAAGTCCCGAGAGCATCTCCTGCCATCCATATGTGAGAGGGGATGGCACCAAGGTTGAATGACAGCAACCAGGATGGCACCATGCTCCATTTTCCTATGGTGGGGAGGCAAGAACGCCCCCTCTTCAGAGAGGGACTCTGGTGTGAAGGGTAGGAGCCCCAGGCAAGCAGAGGGGGATATGCACACAGTCAGTATTATTGGTACAATTGGAGGAAAACAGCCAGGGCAAGGTAGGCCCCCCTCCCGCGATGTGGGCATCTGAGCTGAGTGTCCCCGGGACGAAGGAGGCGTGATGTGGACAGTCACTGAACTGTCTGCTCAACCCCCCTCTTCCAGGAAGCGCTTCTTCTTCCTCCTTCCACATAGTTGCAGACGGGGCAGCCACTCGTGACAACGTGACTCCAGACGGCACCATAGCTGACTGTCCAGGTTTGGGCAGAGAGTTCTGGACGGGTAACATGTGGAGTCAAGAGCTATTGGCAGCCATCTGGTTTGGGTTTTTGTTCTCTTTGTTTGTTTATTTGTTTGCTTGTTTGTTTTGCCACATGGGACACATATGGAGTGGAAGCTGATCTTCAGAGTAAAAGAAAAAATTGAAGCAGAAATAGAGAAAGGAACAGAGACACACAGTGGAGGAAAGGGCCTGACCACATTCATGTCTCCGGTCCCAGTTTATTCCCAGACTCAGCTGCCCCCCTGCTTGAGCTCTGTGAGACACCCCATCTACCCTTATGACAAATTCCTTCTTCTGCTTAAGCTTGAGTTGTTTTTATTACCTGCTGATGAATGACTCATCCAACGTCCATTTCCAACTGTTTCCTCCTGTGCCCACCTCTATTCTAGAGACTGTAAAACTAATTATTTATTTTCTAACCTTCATTGCAGCCATAGTTGCCCAGGAAACACAGCTTTAACTGATAAAATACAAGCACAAGTCTTGGGAAGGGGCCTTTTCATCAGCTTCTTCCATTGAATATGTTTGTGATGGTTGGGTCTATGGCAGCCATCTTGCAACTATGAGAGTCAAGCATGCAAACAAAAAGTAACATGCTAAAGATGGTACAAAAGAAAAAAAAAAAGCCCCCAGAGTCTGGATTTCCAATGGCATAATTCTGCTGTTAAACCAAGGCCAACAATTGTCACCTCTTTTGGTGTTACAATAAAAATAAACCCCTATTAACCTATTCTGTTATGTTTAGCCAATGGTTTCCTAACTGAAACATTTGCAAACAAGAGTCCTGGGTAACATAAGGAGGAAACCTCCAGACTGGACCTGAAGTGGCCCCAGCAGTGAAGAGCTAAGTGTTTTGGGGGGAACAGTAAAAAGAAAAGCAGCAAGGGAGTGGGTTAGATACATTGACTGGGTGAAGTGTGGCTGGGGTGCAGGAACAGGAAGACTGGACTAGATGGGGACAGCAGGTGCTCAGCCCAGCATAGCTGGGGGGGGGGGGTCAGAACCATGACAAGGACCTGAGGCCACAGGAGGTGCCCAGCTGGGGAGAGACACACTTCTCCACCGACCTGGGGTGCAGAAGGGGGAGCTGAGCCCGGGCTGGGCAGAGAATCATCAGCAACAGGTGAAGAGTCGCAGGGGTTACTTCCAGGAGAGGGTGCTTAGTGAGTAAGTACCTTTTCATCCACCAGTCTATCTGACAACCTCCTCAGAGGCTGTCAACTTATGAAAAAGGTGTTGGTTGAGAAATTGTGTCTGAGAACACAGTGAAGGGAGCACAAGCCTTGCGTTCCACCTGCCGGGGTAGGTGTGAATCTCAAGACCTGTGTGGACTTGAGTGAGCCCTTGACTTCTCCAGCCTGTTTCATCATCTGTCAAATGAAGATGGGGAGAAGGTAACATCTGCCTTGAAGGGCAGGAGTGAGGCTTAAATAAAGTAATAAGCAAAGTATCGACCAGGTGCTGGCACTTCTACGGTCTCTGGCGTTAGTGTGAACCCACTACACAGCCCTCAGGACAACAGCACACCTTCAGCCTGGAGGGAGGCAGGCTGGTCCTCACCACTTCGTGCCCCTCAAGCCTGAGACTCTTCTCCCTCTTGAAAGAGCCTGACTAATGGGACTAGTGCCGACGAGTCCAGGAGAATCTAAGGAGATCCTGCAGGGAAGAGACCCAGGGGCACCGGGGCCTGGCTGGGAGGAGGAACAGACCTACCATCTCCTCCTGGGAGGCGATGAGCCTCGCTTGTTCCTGGAGCTGGGCGTGGAGGGCGTTGATCTGGCGCTGGGCCTGGGCCGCTGCTTTCCTCTGGTCCTGAGACAGGGAGGCCTGGAGCCTCTCGTTCTGCCCCTGCAGCTGGTGGACACAGGATGCTCAGTCAGTCAGACGTCTGCAGGGACTCTGAGAGCCCAATGTCAGCCACACTGGCACCTGTGGGCAAACGGTGGTCGGGATTCCACCCGAAGCAGGGTACAGGCTTCCAGACCCGGGCGGGTGGCTTTCTAACAAGACTGACCACCTTCCAGGGGACGTTTTCAAGCTGTGCTTGAGGAGAAGTGAGAATTGAATGCAAGCCCCTAAAACCAAGGCAAAAAGGCTCTCTGTCAGGTGTGGCCACCCACTGAAGGACACTCAGTAAGTGGAGGCCATTTAAAAATCATCAAATGGATGATTCTAGGTGAAAACAAAAGGTGAAGAAAATGTGGTAACATGCTACCTCTGGTGTAAGGGCAGAGAAAATGAGACTATTTATTTCCATTTCCATAAAGAACCTCCAGAAGAATACGGAAGAAGGCAACAAAAGTGGTCAGCTGTGGGGTGCGTGTTAGGGACAGGTAGTTGGAGATGGGGTGGAAGTCAGACTTTACTCAGTGTGCCTTAACATATTTCTTCTGCTTTTGAAACAAATATGAATATATTTCCCACTTTAAAATATTTCAAATAAAATAAACCCATCAGGTGGGGATTACTGGCCCGGGGTTGTCCACCACGTACCAGCCTCTGATCTAAGCACTTTTATCTGGTGAGCTTTCTGCAGGCAGAACCTGGGCTCTTGTTAATCAGCTTCCTCCTGGTCTTGCCGCCTCCTCAGGGGCATTTTGACAGAAGCTGTCTTCTCTGCCCTGGGGCCTGCCGCTCTCTGTTCACTGGTCTCGGTAGCCGAGCACTTCCATTTGGGCTCCTCCTGAACTATCCCTGAAGGCCACAGCCACCTGGTTCTCTCCTGGGTGGGATTTCAAAGAAGGCCACACAACACCAAAGACCAGGCAATTCATCTGAGTTTACAGCACAACCCTTCTTGGAGGGTCTGAAGGGGTCGCTGGAGGGGGGGCCACAGAGTAAAGGATGTGTTAGATTCAGAGAGAAGGTCTGGAGGCCCCTGCTCCTGGCCAGGGAAGCTGCTGTCTGGGCAGCTGACCCCCTCTATGTATTGATGGGGGTCAACAGCCAGGACCAATATCAACAATAAAATATCTGCCCACCAGTTCAAGATAGGGGGTGAAGGGTGGGGGTGCTGAAGGATGAGAGAAGGTCACGGGAAATCAAGCTCCCCCGACGCCAACGAGAGCTACCTCTTTCTTCTGAGCTGCGTGCTGTTCCTGCAGTTCCTTCATTTTCCTCTTCCACTCTGTTTTCTGAAAAGATTAAAGGTTTATCAAATGGGCCTCTCTAGATATTAGAATATAGTATAAAGCTACAGGAAGGAAAAAGTACCGGCTCATGATTAGGCAGACAGAGCAGTGAAGAGGATAGAAAGCCCAGACAAAGATGGGGGGAAAATGGAATCTTAGTCTGGGGGAAAATGGGTTACTGACAAATGATGTTCAAACAAATAGCTAACTGCCTGGAAAAAAAAAATATGAACTTGGATCCTTATTTCATCTCTTACCCAAAATAAATTCTAGGTGGTCAAAGATTTAAACTTAAAAAACAGAAGTGATGTCAGCAAGATGGTGGAATAGGAGGTTCCAGCTCTCAAACCACCCGCAGATGAGAATACCTTTTTGGGAGGCCCGGAATCCAGCTGAGAGTGTCCAGCACCTCAGCGGAGCAAAAAATCCAAGAATAGATGCATTGAAGAGGTGAGAAGAACAGTTTCACTTTCCCTGCATCAGCCGTCCCCCAAGGCAGCACAGCTCAGTGCCAAGAGAGATGCCCTCAGCCTGCGATTTCTCCCATGGGGGAAAGTGAGAGAGAGTGAGTACCCAACTGCCCCAGCCTAAGGAACACTGCCCCGGAGGCCCCCTTCTGTCTCACCCCACCCAGAATTCAAGGAGTCGGCACAGCTGGACTGGCTTGTGGTGCCAGCACTTGGATCTCAACAACCAGCCACAGATCCTGGTGGCTGGCTTGTGGACACCAGGAGGTGTGGGAGGAGGAGAAGTAAAAGTGTAGAGTATTTGAATACAATCAAAGTTAAGTTGTTATCAGCTGAAAATAGACTGCTGTAACTATAAGATGTTTATGTAAGCCTCATGTAATCACAAAGAACAAAACGTGTAGCAGATATGTAAAAGACAAAGAGAAAGAAATCAAAGTATACCACTACAAAAAAATTATCAGGGCTGGCCCAGTGGCACAGTGGTTAACTTCACGTGCTCCACTTCAGCAGCCTGGGGTTCGCGGGTTTGGATCCCAGGTGCAGACCTACACACCGCTTATCAAGCCATGCTGTGGTGGTGTCCCATGTACAAAGTAGAGGAAGATTGGCACAGACGTTAGCTCAGGGCGAATCTTCCTCAAGCAAAAAGAGGAAGATTGGCAACAGATGTTAGCTCAGGGCCATTCTTCCTCATCAAAAAAAAAAAATCATCAAATCACAAAGGAAGACAGCAAGAGAGGAAGAAAGGAACAAAGTAACTACAAAACAGTCTGAAAAGGATTAACAAAATGGCAATTGTAAGTCCTTACTTATCAATAATTACTTTAAATTTAATAGATTAAATTCTCCAATCAAAAGATGAAGAGTGGCTGAATGGGAAAAAAAAAAAAAACACGATCCAACTATATGCTGCCTACAAGACACTCACTTTAGCTTTAAGTACACACATAGGCTAAAACTGAAGGGATAGAAAAAGATATTTCATGCAAATGGTAACCAAAAGAAAACAGGGGTAGCTCTACTTATATCAGACAAAATAGACTTTAAGTCAAAAACTGTTACAAGAGACAAAGAAAATCACTATATAATGATAAAGGGGTCAATTCATCAAGAGGATATAACAGTTGTAAATATACATGCACCCAACATCAGAGCACCTAAACATATGAAGCAAATATTAACAGAACTAAAGGGAGAAATAGACAGCAATACAATAATAGTAGGGGACTTCAATACTCCACTTTCAACAATGGATAGACCATCCAGACAGAAAATCAATAAGGAAACAGTGGATGTGAACAGCAGTATAGACCAAATGGATGGAACAGACATATACAGAACATTCCATCCAAAAGTAGCAGAATACACATTCTTCTCAAGTGTCCAAGGATAGACCATATGTTAGCCCACAAAACAAGTCTTACCAATTTAAGCTTGAAATCAAGTTAATCTTTTCCAACCACAATTCTTGAAACTAGAAATCAATAACAGCAAGGAAACAGGAAAATTCACAAATACATGGAAATTAAACTACACACTCCTGAACAACCAATAGGTCAAAGGGGAAACCCAAAAATATCTTGTGACAAAAATGGAAACACAACATACCAAAACTTATGGGATGCAGCAAAAGCAGTTCTAAGAAGGAAGTTTGTAGTGATAAACTTCTACATTGAGAAAATAGAAAGATGTCAAATAAACCACCTAACTTTACACCTCAAGGAACTAGAAAAAGAAGAAAAAACTAAGCCCACAGTTAGCAAACCGAAGAAAATAAAGATTAGAGCAGATATAAATGAAATAGAGAATAGAAAAACAACAGAAAAGATCAACAAAACTAAGAGTTGACTTTCTGAAAATATAAAATTGACAAATTCTTAGCTAGACAAAGAAAAAGAGAAGTCTCAAATAAATAAAATCAGAAATGAAAGAGGAGACTTACAACTGATACCACAAAAATGCAAAAGATCACAAGAGACTACTATGAACAATTATACACCAGTAAATTGGATACTCTAGAAGAAATGGACAAATTCCTAGAAACTACCAAGACTGAGTCAGAAAGAAATAAAAAATCTGAACAAATCAATAAAGAATAAGGAGATTGAATCAGTAATCAAAAATCTCCCAATAAGGAAAAGCCCAGAACCAGATGGCCTCACTGGTGAATTCTATCAAACAGCTAAAGAATTAATGCAAATTCTTCTGAAATTTTTCTAAAAAATTGAAGAAGAAACACTTTCAAACTCATTTTACGAGGCCAGCATTACTCTTATCAAGTCAGTCAAAGACACTACAGGAAAAAAAATTACAGGCCAATATTTCTGATGAACATAGATGCAAAAATCCTCAACAAAAATACAAGCAAATGAAAATTCAACAGCACATTAAAAGGACATACACCTTTATTAAGTGGGATTATTCCAGGATGCAAGTATGGTTCAACATACACAAATCAATAAATGTAATACACCACATTAAAAGAATGAAAGATAAAATCATATGATCATCTCAATAGATGTGGAAAAAGAATTTGACAAAATTCAATATGCTTTCAGGACAAAAACGCTCAACAAATTAGGTATAGAAGGAATGCATCTCAACATAATAAAGGCCATATATGACAAGCCCACAGGTAACAGCATACACAACAGTGAAAAGCTGAACACTTTTCCTCTAAGATCAAGAACAAGAAGACAAGGATGCCCACTCTCACCACTTCTATTCAAGATAGTACTGGAAGCCCTAGAAAGAGCAATCAGGCAAGAAAAAGAAATAAAAGGCATTCAAATAGGAAAAGAAGAAGTAAAATTATCTCTATTTGCAGATGACATCATCTTATATATAGAAAACCCTAAAGACTCCACCAAAAAAAGCTATTAGAATACATAAATTCAGTAAAGTTGCAGGATAAAAATCAGCATGCAAAAATCAGTTGCATTTCTATATACTAACAACAAACTATCCAAAAAAGAAATTAAGAAAACAATCCCATTTACAATAGCATCAGAAACAATAAAATACTTAAGAACAAATTTAACCAAGGAGGTATAGATCTATACACTGAAAACTATAAAAGACCAATGAAAGAAACTGTAGAAGACATAAATAAATGGAAAGATATTCCATGCTCATGGACTGGAAGAATATTGTTAAAATGTCCATACTACCCAAAACAATTTACAGATTCAATGCAATTCCTATCAAAATTCTGACAGCAGTTTTCATAGAAATAGAAAAACAAATCCTAAAATTCAATTGGAACCTTGAAAGACCCCAAATAGCCAAAGCAAGCTTGAGCAAAAAGACAAAACTAGAGGCATCACTTCCAGATTTCAAATTATATTACAAAGCTATAGTCATCAAAACATTGGCATAAAAACAGACACATAGACCAATGGAACAAAATATAGAACCCAGAAATAAACTCACACATATACAGTCAACTAATCTTCCACAAGGACACCCAGAATACAAAATAGGGAAAAGATAGTCTCTTCAATAAGTGGTGCTGGGAAAAATGGATACCCACATGCAAAAGAACGAAATTGGACAAATATCTTACATCATACACAAAAATAACTCAAAATGGATTAAAGATTTAAATGTAAGACCTGAAACCATAAAACTACTAGAAGAAAACATAAAGGAAAAGCTCCTTGCCACTGGTCTTGGAACGTTTTTTTTTTTGTGAGGAAGATCAGCCCTGAGCTAACATCCACGCCAATCCTCCTGTTTTTGCTGAGGAAGACTGGCCCTGGGCTAACATCTGTGCCCATCTTCCTCCACTTTATATGGGAGGCTGCCACAGCATGGCTTGACAAGCGGTGCATCGGTGCCCGCCCAGGATCCAAACTCAGGCCGCCAGCAGGGAAGCGTGCGCGCTTAACCGCTACGCCACAGGGCCAGCCCCGGCAGTAATTTTTTTTGGATGTGACTTCAAAAGCACGGGCAACAAAAGCAAAAGTAAACAAGTGGGACTACATCAAACTTAAAGCTTCTGCACAGCAAACGAAACAATCAACAAAATGAAAAAGCAACCTACTGAATGAGAGAAAATATCTGCAAACCATATATTTGATAAGGGGTTAATATCCAAAATATAAGGAACTCATACAACTCAATAGCAAAAAAACAAATAACCTAATTAAAAAATGGTCAAAGGAAAAAAAAAAATGGTCAAAGGACCCGAATAGACATTTCTACAAAGACCTACAAATGGCCAGCAGGTATGTGAAAAGGTGCTCAACATCATTAATCAGCAGAGAAATGCAAATCAAACCACAATGAGATATCACCTCACACCTGCTGAGATAGCTATTATTAAAAAACAAACAAAAGATAAGCGTTGGTGAGGATGTAAAGAAAAGGGAACCCTCGTGCACTGTTGGTGGGAATGTAAATTGGTACAGCCATTATGGAAAACAGTATGGAGGCTCCTCAAAAAATTAAAAAGAGTTACTCATTTTCCCTAGGTATCTCCCATGTATATATGAGGTATACATGTTAATAAACCTCTGTTTGTTTTTCTCTTGTTAAAACAAATTAAAAATATAACTACCATATTATCCAGAAATTCCACTTCTTGGTATTGATCCAAAGGAATTGAAACCAGGATCTCAAAGAGATACCCACACTTCCATGTTCATTGCAGCATTATTCACAACAGCCAAAATATGGAAACCTAATAATCCACCAACGAATTAATGGATAAAGAAAATGTGGTATATACATACACTATAATAATATTCAGCCTTAAAAAAGAAGGAAATCTTGCCATTTGCATCAACATGGATGGACCTAGAGGACATTATGCTAAGTGAAATACACCAGACACAGAAAGACAAATACTACATGATCTCACTTATATTTGGAATATAAAATAGTAAAACTCATAGAAACAGAAAGTAGAATGTGATTGCCAGATGGTAAGAGGAGGAGAAAATGAGGAAGTTATGGTCAAAAGGTACAAAGTTTGTTATGCAAGATATATATATACTGTATCGTATACTTAGAATTTGCTAAGAAGGTAGATCTCATGGTCAGTGTTATTACCACACACAAACAATACTACTAATAATAACAAGAATAAAAAGAGTGGGAGCACACTTTGGGAGGTGATGGATATGTCTCTGCCCTGATGGTGGTGATGGTTTCAAGGGTGTATACTTATCCCCAAACTCACTGAGTCGTCTGCATTAAATATGTACAGCCTTTTACATGTCACTCATACCTCAATAAAGTGGTATGTATGCATGAATGAATGAATGAATGAATGAGACCATGAAAGTACTAAAAGAAAACACAGGACAATTTTCTTTTTAAATCTCATTGTGGCCATAACAAAAGGTTGATAATTTTGGCCACATAAACCTTATTAATTTTGTATGGCCAAAGCCACAATAAACAAAGTTGAAGGACCAACAGAAAACTGGGGAAAATAGCTACAAGAACAACAAAGGGTAGGGTTAATTTCTGTACATTATACAAATTCACAAATTGAGAAGGCAATCGATAGAAAAATAAGCAAAGGAGGAGAACAGAGCTCACAGAAAAAGAACGACTTTTTTTAATGTGAAACTTGTGAAACATCACCCAGTGGAAACACTTTACTGCTGACTGTTAGACGTTAAGCTCTTTCTTAACGATCTTGGAAGACAGAAACAGAAGCACAACATGATTTAATGACTGTGCCGATTGTCCTTCCTTGCCATGGAATTCTCATGATACAGACCACGTATAACTGGACCATGTACAACTGGACCGTTGTAAGATTCACCCAGTGGTGGCCAGAGCCACCGCCTACTGGCTCGTGAGAGCGGATTGTGCACATCTTCCCAATTCCATATTCAGTGACCTCACGTTGGTAACATGAAATCAGCCATGATGGGAATATTTATATCACGGGAAACAGCAAATGCTACAAATCAAAGCTTTTTTAGCTCCAGAGAGCCAGTTGTTATTTACCATCACACCACTAGATCTATCCCAAATATTTTCAAATCCAGGAGATGTCACACTTTCTAAGAGTTGTTTTCAACTGGGTTGGAATCAAAATGAGGGCAAAGCTGCCAAATAAGAGACACAGCTGTACATATTCTGATATTGCACACGTGTACATCATCAGCTCACCTGAGAAGCATAAGAACCCTATTCTCTGCAGTCATGTACTGGCAGGGGGTCTGAAAACATAGAACTCGGATGTCTTTCAACTTCCCTAAAACCGCAGAGCAAAACCAAGAAACTTTGTTGGAAGACTGCATGGTTCTTGGCTGGCTCTGGGAAGAAAGGCATGGGGCATCTGCTCACCTGAATTTCCATCTTCTCCTTCAGGGCCCGGAGTTCCTGCGCCTGCCTGAGCCGCTCCTCGGACTCCTCATCCCGCAGCGACCCGAGATGGGACTCCATCACACTGTGGGACTGCAGCGCCTGCAGTTTCTGGCCAGGGCAGAGTTTTATTTGGATGAATGATCACGGTGTTATCTTTTGTCCCTTGAACAGTGTCAGAAGGGCACACCTTATCCCAACCCCAAACCCCCAACTCGTCCTCACTAGATATCTGCACACGTGCTAATATTCACACAAGTCCGCCTTCCCTTCGTTAGGGTTCTCCTGAGAGCTCAGTCCTTGCACAGGAGAAGCAAGTTCCACGGAAGAACAGAATTCAAGAGCAGAATTTCCATCGCACTGCAATTCTGCTGTACTCAAAACCCAGGGCTCACTTGACAGCTGCCCCATTTCTTCCTCAGTCTCCAACAGGCTGAAGAGAAGCAGACTCAGAGCCTTTGGGAGGGTCTCAGGCACCCAGACCATTCCCTGGGGACTCATGCCCCTCCTGCCACAAAAATATGCTGGCTGTCACCAAGAAGGCCTGGCTTGCACAGCTTGGAGCCATGTCACCAATGCCTAGTGATTCCTGGGCTAGCGGTGTGTGATCTGAAGGAAAAGTGGACCAAAGAGAAGGTGCCTTCCACCCACCAATGGTTATACTTTTAAATATATCACTACTGCAGTAACAAAGCAAATCACTCCCTCTCTATTTCCGTATAAAACTCAGAAGCCCTATCAAAGCCTTAACGAACTGCAGGTCCCTGAGTTTAACGTGGCATCATTCTTGCTAATATTTAACTCTTCTCAATTACTGCCAAAGCAATATGAGGTCCATATGTTAACCATTTCTGAACCCCTTGAATATTTTCACAGTCGAATGCTTTATCAGATGTAAGCACAACTTTCAGCTTCTGGTGTGTCACTCCTGTCTACACGTTGCTGCTCATGACACACCAGATAGCTGGCTGTGTTGGCATTACAAACTGTCGTGGTATTTTCCCTCCGACTAGGGACTCCTTCGGCAGCCGGATTTACCCTACATCTAATCTAAAGTTCTCTCTTCAGTCGGGTAACAGAGCCAAAGGAAGTTCTCAGACTTCTGTATCAGGGGGAAGTTTTGAGGAGAAATACTTTCAAAATGTATTTAGCTCTCACTGGTCCTCCTAACATCAAGGAGAATCCTCCCCCATGTTTTGAAAATGGACTGTCTTACAGTGTTTCACAATCACTCTAAATGGAATCTTATGTTCGTCACCCCAGAATTTTAAAAAATAAAATAATTATCCAACTACACTGAGAATTTTGTATCCAGTTTGGCTCCTACACTTTAATAAAAATAAAATAATAAAATATCAGGTGAGAGGAGATGGGGGAGACACACAACCACAAAAACACAACATAAGCAATCCTATAGGGGAAAGACAAAAAAAAAAAAAAAAATTGATGTTCCAGTTTAAGAGAATGTGATCCAAGTTAGAAGGAAACTATGGATGGTAAGAATTATGTCTTCATTTACCAAAACAGAGAATTTCTAACCAAAAGTAACCCCTTGACCCTTGATGAAGTGGTTTCGGAACAACTCCAAGTTCAAATCAATGCCTATTTATCGAATGTCTAGTCAGCTAGCACCGTGTCAGGGAAGTGTGGGCGTGAGGAGAGGTGCAGACGAGCTCAGGAATGATGGCTATGGAGCTGGGGTTAGCAGCATGAGTTCCATATGGTGGCGCAGCATCTTCCACAAATCATCCCTGACCACACTGGGGGTGCATTTAGGATAGGAGGGCTCAGGTCACTATAGAAAACCACACACACACACTCAAGCCTCTCGTTTCAACCCACCGCCTTCCATCCTTGGCTTTCCATCTCAGACTGAGATGATGGATCACTCAGGACTCCAAGCATATCCTATAACAGTCCCCTTCTGGAAAAGCTGTCTAGGTGTTTCTTCAGGCAAAATGTGGATTGACTGTGAGAAACACTCTTTGACAGTTAATTTTCAAAAACAAGAAAGATTCTCCTTGATGTTGAGGACCAATCAGAGCTAAATACATCCTGAAAATATGTCTCCTCAAAACTCTTTCCCTGATACAGTTTTAGTCATCCAGGTTTATATGAGAAGATGCAGTCCAGGGATAGCTTTGATAAGGTTTTCCTGAATAAACTGATAGTATATTCAGTAGAAGAGCAGGGGCTTTGAAGTTCAAAGAGCTGGGTCCAAATCCCAGCTGTGTGGGATTTGGGCAAGTTATGTGGCCTCAACGTCTTCACGTGTAAAGGAGGAATGATAATAGTTTTAAAAAAAAAAAAAGAACTTTAAAAAAGAAATTAATAAACTAATGATGTACCTACTTTGAGAATGTTATGGTTGTTTAGTTGTTATGAGGACTGGAAATTAGTGTATGTAAAGTGCTCTGCACCAGGGCTAGAGAACAGTAAATACAGGCAAAGAATGTTAGCTACCATGTGTGACCTCCGCAGACCCCAACAGAGTGCCTGGTAGGTGGCCAATGCACAGCAAATATTTGTTGGAAGAAAAATACATTCATTTAAATTTTGCCTCATTTCTCGTGCACTGATGAAAGCCCTTTGCAAAAATACGGATGATATCTAGGGAGTTCTTACCATATGCCAGCTAATGTTAAGTGCTGTCTATGTGCTAATTTAACCGTTTCAGCAATCTATCTTACAGAAAAGCAGCTGAGGCACAGGAAGGTTAAGTAACTCGCCCAAGGTCACACAGCCAGTATGTGATAGAGCAGGGATTCAGTCCCAGGCCCAGGCCTCTAGTGTCTGGCTTCACAGTGTATTAGTCCCCAGTGGTAGATGAAACAAAACTTGTACAAACTAAGAACTGAATTTTGAGAACAAATAAGCAGATTTTCAACAAAAGAATTTTGAAAAGCCTTTTATGTTGGGCACCTCTTCTAGCGTAGAGTTATGGTTGGCAACACTTTTAAACTCGTCCCAAAATAATTTTTTTAGCTTGTCTATTTCCCCATATAGCTTGGCCCGCTCTTTTTCTTTCCATTCATCAAATTCTTTCTTAGCTTCTATTTCCCTCTGATGAGTGATCTCTGCTTCCTACAAAGAAAAGCAAAAACAACAGAATCATTAATTCCACATTATGGCAAATATTTACTGAGAAACTGCTAGGGCCACTTGTCCATGCAAATCACTATGGAGACCCAAAGAACATTCATCCCATAGTCCCCATTGTTTAGACTTGGAGTGGGACAAGGCTTATCTGAACTGTAAAGTCCCTTGAGGATAGGGATCATGTCTTTTCTCTCTTTATGTTCCTCACAATGCCTGGCATAGTTGGTGCTCAATAAATGCATGCCGAGGGAATGAATGATGAATGAATAAGTGAAGGAATGAGTAAAGCCAAGTGTATGTATTTTCATTCTACAAATATTTCCTAAGCACCTCCTCTGGGCTGGATTCTGGAGCCTATCCAGTCTTTGTCCTCAAAAAGCTAACTAACAGTACAGTGTAAGAAATGAAAATTCAGGTTCACATGCCCTCAGAGAGTGCTGAATAATGCAGGAAACTGCAACTCTCTGCTCTACTTTTGGCCACACAGGTCTGGCAAAATAACTGAATTTTCCTTGCCAGACTACCTAAAATCATTTGCCACATCCTGGAAGACGCAATCCCAGCTCTGACTCCCAGCCCTGGGAAAGCAGCCGGCATTCTGGCCCTGTGGATACAGGGGCATCGTGGGTCTCCTGGGTTGTCCATGAGCGAGCCTCCCTGACCTTTCATCTCCAGGCCCACCTGGAGCTGCCGCTGCCTCTCAGCCTCCCTCTGGGCTTCCAGCTCCCCTTGGGTCCACTTGAGCGTGGCCCGCAGCTCTTCCAAGACCTCCTCCACTGGCTGTTCCTGCTTCTTCTGTTTCCCTGTGGAGTCCATGCAAAAAGAGGGCGACCAGTTTAAGGCCAAAAGTCAGTGTGGTTCCTCACCTACGCAATCAGTCACATCCCAGTCTGAGACCAGCTTTGCCGCTTCCATTGGACATTGTCCTTGGGCAAATGACATAGCCTCCCTCACCCTGTGTTCCCCAAACTGGAAAATGGACATCATAACAGCACCTAACTCAGAGGGTTGTTGTGAGGACGAAATGTGATAAAGCAAAGTGCTCAGCATTGTGCCTGGCATGACAGTTCAATAAATGTTTACTATTATTGTCATTTAAAATAACTGTTCTGACAGTACTGACACATGGAAATGTGGATGCAAAATTAGTAGAGTAACAGAAGCAGAATACCAAATAGCCTGCACACGCTGATCAGCAACACGAAGAACATATCTCTGTATCGCGACCGCAATCAGGGAGGAGTTTAAAGTAATGAAAATAATTGTTCACTCTTTTCAGTAACATAGTATAGTTAAATGCATAGTTTTAAATTTCAAATGAAAAAAAGGCAGTATGCATTATGAAGGAACCTTTTTAGCCAAGGTGTTTAAATGTATACTTTAAATTTTTAAGATTAAAAAAAAGAATGAATTACAAAAGAACGTTCTAACCAACCCACATACTGATAAACCGAGTAAAGGGTTAATGAAAAAGACACCAACTGTACTTGAACATTTGTTACTTTTTAAAGTACATTTAGTGATTATTAGATAGATGATACTGTTAGTCTACGAAGCCTTTCTTTGAAAAGAGATATGGCTTTTTTCAGACAGGACTTTTTGGAAACAAGCAATTTTTAGATGCAATAGAAATTAATTTGGGTTAACGAAGTGATTTGAGGTGGGTATGGGACAGGAGAGCTGGGGTATCCGAGAAGCCAGTTGCCTGAGAATAAAAAAGTCACAAACAATAATGTAGCAAAAGTTTCCTTAAGAACATATTCCCCCTCTCCTTACAGCACTTTACATTAAGGAAATGATAAGGAATATGCACAAGGATTCACAAACAAGAATGGGGATCATCATGTGATTTATAATAGGGAAATTTTTGAGCAACTCATATAAATTATGAAATAATTCAATTGTGAAATAAATTGTGATAGCCACATGATGGGACACTATTCAGCCATTAAAAATCATGTTTTCAAAGATGATTTAATGACATTGGAAAAAGTGATATATTCTTAATTCAAAATAAGCAATAGTCAAAACTGCATGCTATATGATTATATATGTACATGGAAAAACAATCACAGAGAATAGACCAAAATATTAACTGCAGGTGATATTGTCCATGGTTTTCATTTTCTGTTTTCTACCTTCCTGTATTTAGATTTTCTATATTAAAGGCGTATTTTTTTATTGTAACAAAATACACATAACATAAAATTTTCCATTTTAATCTTTTTTTTTTTTTGGTGAGGAGATCAGCCCTGAGCTAACATCTGCCAATCCTCCTCTTTTTTTTTGCTGAGGAAGACTGGCCCTGGGCCAACATCCGTGCCCATCTTCCTCCACTTTATATGCACAACATGGCTTGCCAAGCAGTGCATCGGTGTGCCCCCGGGATCCGAACCGGCAAACCCCAGGCCACTGCAGCAGAGCGTGCTCACCCAACCGCTTGTGCCACCAGGCCAGCCCCAACTTTAATCATTTTTAAAGGTAGAGTTCAGTGGTATTAAATATATTCATAATGTTGTGCAACCATCACCACCATCCATCTCCACAACTCTTTTCATCTTGTAAGACAGAAACTCCATACCCATTCAACAATGACTCCCCAATCCCCGTACTCCCAGACCCTGGCAACCACCATTCTACTTTCTATTTCTATGAATTTGACTGCTCTAGATACCTCACATCAGCGAAATCACACAGTATTTGTCCTTCTGTGATTGACTTATTTCACCTAGCATAATGTCCTCAAGTTTCATCCATGTTGTAGCATATTGCAGAATCTCCTTTCTTTTTAAGGCTGAATAATATTCCCTTGCATGTATATATCACATTTTGCTTATCTATTCATCCATCAATGAACATCTGGGTTGCTTCCATATCTTAGCTACTGTGAATAAATGCTACTGTGAACATGGGTATATAAAAATCTCTTCAGAGACATAGATTTTTAACACAAAAAAATTATTTAAGAAATAGAAAATCTGTGTTTCTTTAGCAGCCTCCCATGCAGAACCAAGAAGAATTAGATATATGATAAATGCCTAGTAACTAGGTAAATGGTGCTATTTTAAAACTCTAAGTCTGTTCTTTGAAAAGGAAATTAAAATGAAGAAAAATAAGGAAAAAGTCTTACTTAACGGGATTTTTATATTTTTATTTATATTATTTATATTTTCATATCCATATTTATTTTATGTTTTAACAGCTATTTCTTATTGGACCTCAAAAAATGGATATAAAGTATGCAAATCTCTTTATGGGGCAAACATACAACCTTGCTACTTGTTTTAGAATGTGAAACAGTAAAATTAAAGTGATTAAGTCATAATGAGCTCATGTACATAAAAAGTCAAAGAACTGGCCTGACTGCTCCTTCCCTCATTGAGGCTTCTTCCTAGCTGGCATCAGAGAGGAGCAGGTTCACCGAAGGCCGGGAGGTAAGGGCCTTTCAAAGTCACTCCCTCTGACTGCCCCTCACAGTGAAGGCCAGTGAGACTCAGAGGGGAAGCACTGACCTTGGTCACATAGCAGAAAGGGACAGAAAGCTAAGACTGGAACCTGCCTGTCTGACTCCCAGCCCTTCTTCTCTACACATGTGGTCAGAAACGCCCCCAGCCCCATGCGGGACCCCCCACGGTGGACGGTGCGAAGAGCCATCCTTGACTGGATGATGAGGCTCTGAGGGCAGCTTTGGTGGTGTATGTGCCCCCCGCAGCCCCCCAAACACCAGTCCAGGCCCTTCCACAGTCCCAGGAGGGCCCCGGGCTGCCACCTGGACTCACCGCCTTCCGCCATGCGCTCCGCCATGCCTGCATGCCTGCGCTGGATGTGGCCCCGGAGGAAGGTGGCATTCATGAACGTCTTGTCACACAGGTGGCACTACACAGAGAGGAAGTAGCGGGAAGTGCAGAATCAGATCACCTGAGTCAGCCTGGGATTCTCCAGACATCAAAACTCCCATTTCCCTGGGACCTCTGGGCTGCTTCAGAAATGAAGAATTTGGTTTACTGAGTAAGCAGTGACACCAACGCCCCTCAAAAAATATATATATATCCTGAGCTTTAAAACACTGCCAGCACCCTGGGGAACTGCGAATACTGACTAGGTATTTGATGATACTAAGGATTTTTTGTCGGTTTTTCAGGGCGTGATGATGGTATCGTGCTTATGTTTAAAAGTGGGAGTCCTTGCCTTTTAGAGATACATACAGAAATATTTACAGATATAATTGTATGACTAATACACTTCAAAATAACCCAGGGCCGGCCCCGTGGCTTAGCGGTTAAGTGCGCGCGCTCCAATGCTGGCGGCCCCGGTTCAGATCCCGGGCGCACACCGACATACTGCTTCTCCGGCCATGCTGAGGCCGCGTCCCACATACAGCAACTAGAAGGATGTGCAACTATGACATACAACTATCTACTGGGGCTTTGGGGGGGAAAAAAATAAATAAATAAAATTATTAAAAAAATAATAACCCAGAGGTGGGGAAAAGTGGCGAGGGGAAAAAATGCAGCAATATTGGCCATGAGCTGATAACTATTGGCCCAGGCAGTGTGCAGATGAAGGTTCATTATATTACTCTCTCTGCTTTTGTATGTGTTTGAAATTTTTCCAGAATAAAAAGTTTTTTAAAAAATGTGAATGTCCAGGTCCCACCCCAGGGCTGAGAACCATCAGAGCAGAGGATAGCAAATAACAGCATCTGTAATTTCACTTCACTCTCCTCAAGCATTTCAGACACTGCCAATCTATCCTATCATCTTTTCACTGTAAAACTTCAAAATCCTTCCAACACGGCTTCGCTGGCTGCTAGTACTAGTCACTCAGAGTAAGAGGGAAGATTATGTGCTATCTTTACACAAGGGCAAATGTGACAGAAATTGGCCCCCAATACCCATTTTCCCTTTTTCCTTAGCAAAGAAATTCTGATTTTTAGCTGGCTATGAGGCTAATGAGAATAAACACTCTACGTCCCAGCCTCCCTTGCAACCAGATGTGGCCATGTGACTAAATTCTGGCCAATGACATGTAAGCAGAAGTGGTATACACAACTTCTGGCAGGTGTCATTAAAGAAAGAGTCATGACATTCCTCACCCTCCCTCCTCCTGCTGAATAGGTGGAACTCAGGCAGCCATGTTGGACCATGAGGCAGAAGGCACATGACAAGGCTGGCAGACCAACACATAAAGAACTGGGTCCACAATGGTTGTGGCATTCCATACCACCCATGGATTGCTTACCTCTAGATTCTGTTCAGGAAAGAAAGAAAGAAACTTCTATCAAACAGTTATGAGTTGAGGCTTTCTGTCACCTACGGTCAAAACTAATCCAAAGGGATACAACCTGGATTGACAGCCTTGGCCCACTCTGGAGCTCTAAAGTGACACAAATGAATTTCCAGTTGTCAGAAGGAATATGAGTTGGGTGGGGTGGGGAATATCTTATGAGGCATCTTATTCCAAATCGTAAGCCTTTCCCTCTGCCCACCCTTCCCTGCCCCCCATTCCCCACTCGCAGCACATTCACAAACCAGGCACCTGAAGCTGCACGGCCACTGCTGCCTTCAGACTAAAGGCCACACTCTGTACCGTGGCACTCAAGGCCACCATGACCTGGCTCTGCTAACCTCTCCTGCCACATCTCTCACCACAGCCCCCACCCAAACCCCACCTCAGGCCACTCCAAAGCCATCACGCTGCACGCCCTTCTCACCTTGGCTGCCTCTGCCTATAACACTCCTTTACAAAACTGTGCTCAACATTCAAGGCTCAGTTTAAACACCACCTCCGGAAGACTCTCCCTCTGCCTCCTCTATGCTCCCACAGCTCCTCAGCCATATCTTTATCATACTTAACACTTTCTCCACCTGTAAAGGACACGAGTTCATTTTCAGCAGTACAGTAGTCACTCCCTCTTCCTCTGATAATGGTCCCCCAGCTTTCTGCTGGGAATTACCTTCTTTCTTACTCTCAATCCATGGGCTTCAGTCCACTGCCAGGTCCATGGATGAACACGTGATCCAGACCAAAGCCAATCTGAACCCTGCGTCCTTGGGACCCATGACTCGGTCAGAGATGGGTAGGAGACCCATACACAGCCAAACACAGGACACACAGTGAAATACTAGCTGGGCTGGTGAGACCAAAGAAGGCCCTCTATCATGCCAGCCTTGAATCTGAGAAAATGAGAAACTGGCATTACAGTGGCCCAACTTACTGCCACATGGACAGAATCTTTCTGAGAATGGATCCCACTCTGAGGAAGAATTGCCAAGAGCTGCAGAGAAAGAAACTACATTCTGGTGCCATCGTCTGATTCCTGGGGCAAGCCACACCTGAATCCCACCATAACCCTGGATTTTTCAGTTAAATCAACCAATAAATTCCCTATTGGCCTAAACCAAGTAAGATTGCTGTTTTGTCACTTACTACTGAAAGGATCCTGACTCTTTTTATCGTAATTAATATTATATAAATTATATAAATTAACATTCTATCCATTAACATTGTATCATAATGATTCCTTCTGTTCCACTCACCCCCAAACTATGAATTTCTTGAAAACCTGAACCAGCATGACTTGTGCCTTCATCCTCAGAACCTGGCACAGGGCCTGGCCACCATGACAATCTATTAAAGAGCGACTGTCTCCAATCCACATTCTATAGAAATACACACAAATACTCAAATGCCACTCTGGGGAATGAACTGTCACTTAGTTGAATAATGGAGTCACTTTTCCAGAATGGGCCTGGCTCCACCAGTCTCTTGCCACACGTTGATTCCACACATACATACACCCTTGTTACACACACCTTACACACCACATACATGCACATATAAACCCTTCATACATACACAGCCATGCTCTCCATAACCGTTAGACACCTATACACCCTTCACGCGCTCACACCATGCCACACCTACCATAAATATACCTTTATATACACACTTCTAAAGATACACAAGCACACACTACACACCACACAGTCTACATACACACTCATACCATACACAGATGTACCCTCCAAACATTCACATGCACACATTAGACACACATATTCACACCATCCACAAACACACACACACACACCCTCCATACATTCACACATGCACACGCTAGACATGCACCCTCTCCATAAACACATACACACTCTATGCACACACATCCTTCATACACGCACCTGCCACATATGTAAAATTCCATACATACATACACACTTTAGAACCTGATCAGACACCCTCGGGCTCTCTGGCCATGAGCAGCGTCTCTAAAACCTGCTCCTAACCAGTGAAATGGCCCACAGGGCCTTGGGGTCCGGGGCGGTGGTGCTGCCCAGGTGGCCCGGTGGCTGGGCGCACAGCCCTCCCACTCCCCCCACCCTGCAGAGACTCCTCACCGTGTGGTAGCTGTGGGCGCCTGTCTGCATGAGCAGCTGCTGCAAGGTGCTGATCATCTTGCGTCGGCGGCGGCTCTCCTCCCGCACCCCCTTGAGCTCGTCAGCCTGGCGGCCCAGCTCCTGCTGGCCACGCTCCTGCTGGCCCAGGCTGGCCTGCAGCCGCGCCTCCAGCTGGGCCACGCTGGCACTCAGGCAGTCCTGGCAGTGCAGCAGGTACTCGATGATGAGCTGGGCCAAGCGCAGCACCTTGAGCAGTGCCGGGTCCACAGGCTGCCCACAGCGGCTGCACGCCTCCCGGTCCAAATTGCAGAAGGTGACACCAGCAATGTTCTCCTGCAGGGTGGCCACGTCCAGCTCCCGGGCCACGCGGTCCACATCCAGGGCACTAATGCGCCTCCAGTCCACGCTCTCACGGCGAGGCTGGAACTTGAAGGTAGGGAGTGTGTAGGCCCCAAAGAGGGGGCCACTGAGGCCCTCAGCAGTGGTAGCAGGGGACTGCATGGGCAGGGGAAGCCCTGGGCTGACCACCGAGGGAGGATGCCCCCAAGGCCACGGCAGCAGACAAAGGAGCTGAGAGAGGGCCTGGAAAATGAGAAGCAAGTCCAAGTTAGGCAAGATGCATGTGGCTGCATGTACCGTACACGAGGCCAGCAAGAGCCTAAGGGATCTGAACGACAGCTGCAGCAGGCTGGGCTGCACCGACATGGCAGAGCTCTGGAAAGCAAGGGTGTGGGCTGTACAATCACACAGACGCGGATTCAGAGCCTCAGCTTGGGCAAGACCCTTCATATCTGTAAGCCTCCTGTGCACACTGGGGATCATGGGGCCTGTTTTGCAGGCTCATGGTTAGGAATGAGGCAGGTGAAGCACCCAGCCTAGAGCTTGACACATAGTAGATCCTCAGTGAACACCCCCATGCCCCAGTCCACTGCAAGAGTGCCTGCCAGAGGGCTCTGTCAGGGGGAGCTGTCAAATGTGTACGTGGGTCCTTCTGCAACCCTACATTGACCTCAGGATGAAGCCCAACAACTTGCCTTGGGTGGCAGTGCTACCTAATGTCTCCCACACCACACCCCATCCTCTCCTCTCGTAATCACAAGGTCAGGGGGACACAGAGGTGGGCTACGTTTCCCAGTTTCCCCAGCTGTAAGGTGTGGTCATCTGACCATGTTCCCCCTGTGGGATGGGAGTGAAATGACGTCCGTCACTGCCAGGCGTGCTTAGGAGAGCGGCCATGAGTCCACACAGATGGTGCACAGTCTTTTTCTTCAAAGCTAATGGTTTAGAAAAGAGCTCCTGTTTGTCGTCAAAAGACTCAGCTTCTACTCTCCACTCTCTTGGTAGACAGAGAAATTGTTCTCTCTCTTTAGAGAGTAATTTGTCAATAGGAACAGGAATTTAAAATGAACATTCCACTACTAAGAATTACAATTTATCCTACAGATAAACCCACACAAGTATGCAAAGGTGCTTGTGCAAAAACTGTCATTGTAGCATTGTTTGTAACAGCAAAGTCCAAGAAAGCAAAGTACAGTAGTGTATATATATATATATACACACACACACACATACTTCCATTTCTGTTTAAATAATATATTAATATAATCACATTTAATAATAATTTTCAAAAATAAAGGAGATATGTATATCTCATATATATAGATATATATCTCACATTAGAATAGTTGCCTATAAGGGAGGAGGGAAATGGGAATGTGAAATGGGGAAAAATAAATGAATAGATGGATAGTACGTCGGTAGGAGATGGATAGATAGACAGACAGATAGACAGGCCTTACACTTACCAATGATGATAATGATACATATATGCACAATATATATACATATATATACACATACATGAATGATTTGTATTTGTTATTCATATATAATCACAATTAAATAAAATATACTAATTTAGATTCCCATATATGATTCATTATCTATACTATTTAATAAGCATAAACTATTTCTAGAAAAATAAACAAGCTGTTAGTGTTTACGTTTACCTCTGGGAAGTGGGAACAGAGGTTTGAGGACTTCTATTTTCCACTTTCCACCTCTCTATACTACTCAAAGTTCTTCGCATCATTATCTATAACTTTTATAATTTTTTAAAGAAAAAAATACAATTTATGCCCTTGAGGAACTTAGAATCCGACTGAGGCAACAAGAAGTGCCTGTGACCATATTTAATCAGGTTCTTTCTAGATCACGTGATTCAGACTTTTAAGTGCAATAAAAAGTGAGAGAAGAGAAAGGTCATTGACCTCAGGAAGAGAAAGGCCTTGAGGAAACAGTGGGGCTGGGTTTGCAGAGGGGAAGGGCCTCCAGGAAAGGCCCCGGCCCCGCTGAGCCTCTCATCTGTGAAAGGCAGTGATGGCGGTGATAGGCCTGCCCGCCCACCCCCAGGCTGCCGTGAGAAGTGGGGCAGATGGAGGGGAAGCCCTCAGCAATACCAGCCACAGCGCAGGGAGTGCCAGCCTCTGCGCCCGCTAACAACTCTAAACACAAACCTTCAAACAGGCATCACTCCTCCCATTTCAGCAACAAGGAGACTGACGTCTGGAGAGGGGAAGCGGCTTGCCCAGACGGGGAGGTCAGAGCTGAAGGAACACTGGAGCTGCGTCTGGCTCCAAAGCTTGTGGACTGTGAACCACCCAACATGATGCTTGAGGCTTGTGGACTGTGAACCACCCAACATGATGCTTGAGGCTTGATGCAAAGGCTAAAAGTTTTAGCCTTTGTCCTAAAACTCTGCTTTGACCAGATCATCACCGCTTATCCCTCAAACTCATTCATTCATTCCCTCCTCCCACATTACAGGATGCCTACTGGGGCCAGGCCCAGTGTCAGGCACTGGGTTTACCGACGTGTATTAACCACACATCTGCCCCTCACCCAGGAGCTCAGCGTGGCTCCTTGTCACAGTACCAAGTCCAAACCCCTTAGCCTGGTCTCAAAGACTGCCCATGGAGTCTTTGAGACCACTGACCCACCTTTTCAGTTTCAGCTCCCATGCTTCCCTTCCTCAGACTCTTCCCCAATACATACTCCAAAAACAAAACCATCCAACCACGAGCACCCCCACCATGGCCATCAAGAGAAGACCGGCACGCTTCTACTTAACGTATCATGTTATAAAAAAGGAGGCGGGCGACACAATACTCACCATGCTCAGCTCCAAGCTGCAACCATGTCACCGGAGCCTCAGAGACAATCGCTACAACAAGCCGTGCCTTGGAGCAACAGCGGGTTACCAGGTGTGCTGCGGGCAGGGGTAACAGGACACCTGCCTTCTGTCCTCCCACAGACCGGAGCTCACCTGAGAACTCACTGTTTAACTATTAAAGCCTTGGCCTCAGGCGTTTGCCCACAGTCCTGTCTCTAATAATAAGGCCAAGAATGCTCCACCAGCAGCTCTCTCGGCTCTCCTCCCACACCTTCGATCCCTCCACCCTCTTCCTTGAACAGCTACTATCCTTTCACCCTTCCTATAAGGCAGGGTGTGCCACTGCCCCCCTGACATTCTGCCGTTCACCCGCAACCCATCTCTCCCTGCACACTCTCCCTGCACGCTCTCCTTGCACACTCTCCCTGGGGACAAGCTTGCACGTACCCATGGCTTTACCTACCATAGGCCTGCTTTAGGCCGAGCCTCAGCCACCCCCAAATCTCTTTTTCACTGGCCCACCTGTCTCCTGGGACCTTTAGACCCAGCCTTCCAACACGGATTATGCCAGAAATTGCAAATTCAAATCCTACCAGGGCCAGGAAGGTGTGCTAAACACAGGAAACATGCCAGGTATAAGAGAAACCACAGTACAAATTGATGACAAATGGCAACTGATTCCCCATCTTAGTGTCCAAGACACAATCAGGCAGTGTGGTGCCTGGACCAGCAGCAGCAGCATCCACTGGGAAATGCAGATCTCCAGACTTACTGATTCAGAACCACTGCAGGAGGGAGTGTGGGGACAGGGAGTGCTGGGGATTGCGGCAAAATGGGAGCGCACGCCCTGTGTAAAAGGGGTAGCCACCTTCACAGCTTCAGCCATACGGGAATGGATTGTACGTGTTCCTTATGGGCTAGTTCCAAATTCATTAAGAAGATAGTCAAAGACCTCTAAGAACGGTTTCCTAACGACCTTTCTAGCTGCATCTCCCACTCACCATATTCCTTGCTGTCCACACTTTCATATCTCTGAGCTATTTATTTATAAGTACTGTTTTTAAGTACTTTATAAAGAATAACTCATGTAATACTCAGAATATCCCTTGAGGAGACAGTATTATTATCTAAGCCACAAAGAAGGGAAGAAGTTTGCCCCAGGTGCAGGAGGCAGTATTCAAACCCACGCAGCCTGGTTACAGAGTCTGAGCTCTTAGCCACTGTAGCACGCTGCCTCTTGGTATAGATGGCCCTCCACCACTTCATCCTGCTCCTCCTGAAGGGGAATGTATGCTTCAAGGCCTTGCTGATACATGATTGCCACCATAAATCCCTCCCAGGCCCACAGTCAGAATTCCCTGCCCCTCCCCTGGGCTCCCAGAGCACAGGCACACACTCCTCTGGTCGCCCTCCCCACAGGCTGGTCTGGGTTGGGGTGGCCGTGCATCACGGGATGGGATCATTCACTCATCCATCCCATCAACGAATGATTCCTGAGCCCCTACCAAGTGCCAGGCATTGTGACTGGCACTGAGGATTGACGGTGACCCAGGCAACAGTCCCTGCCATTGTTAATAAAAATAGTTAACAGTCTGGCACTGTGTGCTCCACACACGGTTACGAGGCTTTACATGTATCATTCCATTTCATTCTCACAACAGCCCAGTACGCAGACAAAGAAACTTCAAGGTAAATGAAGAGGGGAAAGTCACACAACTAGTACGTGATGGTGTCTGGCTCCAGAGTCTGTTCTCCAGAAAGACAGAAATGACCCTACAGAGTGGTAAGTGCAGGGTAGGAGCTAGGACAGGGTGCTGTGGGAGCACCAAAGAGGGGCTGCACCAGGACATTTCTGTCTCCTTTCTCCCCCCGACTCTCCCAGCTATGAGCTCCACAAGGGCTGAGACCACGGCTTATTCTTATCTGTTGTATTTCCACCCCTAGCCTATTACCTGCAGCCCAGATTGCTACTGAACTGACCAGGATTGTCAAAATCTTAGAGTATCTGCCTCAAAATTCTATATTCTTGTGGTCTTGGAGAAATGAGGCTATGGACCAGCAAGAATTAGGATAAAGAGTAAAGATGGAGTTAGGAGTCCTTAATTTGGACTCATTGGAGAGAAATGCCAGTCAGACTTAGTAAAACGCTTGATTTGTTGACCATCTGTGTCCACAGCTTAATCCCATTGCCCACTAACGAAAGCCTGGAGTGCGGGAGCCCTTGTAGGTGGGCTCAGGCCCACCAGTGAGGAGCCCCAGCGCCCACGCCAACTGTCAGGATGTGGCTGCAGTGTCAAGCTCGCTTCCTAAGCAGCCCTTAAACCCTCGCATTTGCACTCTGAGCACACTGTAAGCACTGAGGATGGCAGCCCCACTCCCAGTTATACGGAATTATGAATTAGGGGCCTGAGTTCACGAGGACTCACTGAACCCTGAAAGTATCATTCCTGTCTTCCACTAGAACCCCAAGAGTCCAATTCTCAGAAGCCCCAGGGCTCTGACATCAAAAGGTGAGCAGAACTGGGGGAATTTGAAGATGACGATGATGATAGCAGCCATCATTTGCTAAGTATCTGTGTGCGAGGCACTGTGCCAGCCTTTGAAAGTGCTGTTCCTAGTCTTGTATGTAGCTATGATTTGTCTCATCTGACAAGTGTAGAAACTGAGGCTCAGAAAAGCTAAGGGACCTGCCCCAAGTCACTCAGCTACTAAGTAACGAAGCCAAGATTCAATCAACTTCTGTCAGACTCCAAAGCTTTTGAATCATGCCAAACCACCTCCTAATGATGACAATGACGATACGTAAATTATTTCCCATTATGGAAATTACAGTACCTGAGATTTCTTGACCAAACTTCAAGGACTGAAAGAGTTTTCAGCAAATCACAACAAGGTCAGCGCTGGAGTCCCTAACTCCCCCTGTATCTCAGCAGAGCTTAGCCAAACACCACTCACCTCCACGGCGTGGGTCCCGGCTGGGATGGGCAGAAGACAAGCCAAATGCAAGTGCTGCAGATTACCTGGAAACCACACGCCCCAGGGGGCAGGAACACCGCGCTTCTCCAGACCGAATTATCAGCAGACTGCTTTTCCCACATCTGGGAATAGAAACACAAGGCAGACACGACTCACTGTCAGGAAATCTGGAGCTGTGTTAACCATCTCTAGATGTTTTGATGGAGTCCTCAGAAACTTCCCAATCCTCGAGCAATGTCACAAATTAGTGGGAACCAAAAGAATGATATTTATGCTAGCATTCCAAACTCACTTCATTGTTGAAGAGATGGTTTCTCCCTGGGCAATCACAGCCAAGAAAGAAAGCCCGTCTACCACCCGTGCTTTGCACACTCCCAGTGATGGGGTGTTCACCACCCCGCAAGGCAGCCATCCACTGTGAGACAATTCCTGGAGACTTTATGGTTCTTCTGAAAGCTGCCCACCTATAATCTGTCAGATAACTTCCACGAAATCAACCCAACAGCTGATTTTTTTAATAAACTCTGACTGATTTAATATAACTTGACAGCTAGACTACACCACCACTGCTGCCACCTTACTGTCTCTTCTGCTTCCTCAAGAATGCAGCCAAGAGGAGCACTTGGAGGAGCCAAGCTTCCAAGGTGGCTGCCAGGCAATCATTTACCAGCCCGCCCTGGCTCTGAGCTAACTGCAGCCGGGCCTGCCCAGGGAGCTCAGGCGTGTCATTAGTGCTAATTGTGGTGGCTGCCAAGGAGACCTTCACATAGTTTGCAAACAGGCTGTGCACACTCAGTAGGCAAGGGAACACTAGAGACCCCAACGGAGATGAGTGACCCTGGCCCTCTCCTGGAGCCCTACCGTTACACGCCTTAGGTTTCTGCTCTGATTCTGTTGTTTTCCAAAGAAAGGAGTCCCCCTTTCCACTCTTGCGTTCCATGCAGGCTGCACCCACTCCCAGAACCATCAAGGAGTGAGAGAGAGATCCATGCCACCAGGCACACAGCTCTCCCCTACAGCTGGCCTCCATTCCCAGCACCTTGAAGGAGATATTTTTAAAAGAAATCATTCACGGTTTTGTCAGGAGCCTATTTTAAGTTATTGCCGCAAAAGGATTTTCTTCAAAATAAAAAATTGGGAGTGGGGATTTGACTGACATTGCTCAGAAGTATTTTAGAGAAGACTACATACTGACATGACCTATCTTCCCAGGTGAAAATGGTCAAAAACCAACACTGCTTTTCACATCTGAAAGAAAACCAGCTTAGAATATACTGCTGTTTTCTTTCCTACGGAGGAGTCACTGCTTCTTGGTAGAGTTTCTCCCTCTGCAGTGCCTGGGCCATCAGACCCCCACAAAAACCCTCCCTACAGGTGCAAGGCCTCATGACAGGTGGCACTGCAGGTGGTTAACCCTGCCAACCAGGACCAGCTCTCCTGCAAGGGGCCCACGAGGAGGTCCAGAACAGCCCACCAAGCTGTCCTTCTCTGCTCCTGTCAGTTTCAGTTGAGCAACAAGCCTTTTCACCCAATCCCACCTCTGTGGCAGAACCCAGTTATGTTGCACAAGTGAATTCAGGTTTCTGTTTCCAACCTGAAGCGTATAACATCCTGGGACCATTTTATCACGTTGGACGGTATCCAAAAATATTTCCACACGAGGGAGATGTCTCCAGACCCTTGGTGCTGACAAGACAGATGAATGACCACTTATCAACCACTTGACTGGAGGACCCACCTTCTCTAGGTGGGGTTGTTCTCACTGGCCAGTCCTCAGCTCCAGGAGGAGGCGTTAGGGACTGAGACTGAGGAGGATGACCACCCACCCAGCAGACAGGCCTCGGCCCCAAGGAGTGCTGGGTGAGCGGCAGCCCCTGCCCAGGCCCTCCAGACCCCCTCCTGGCCTGTACGAAGCAGGTCTCTCGTGACGTCTACCTGCAGCCACCGCAAAACGCAAACACCATCGCCGCCTCCTGCTAAACTCCAGCCCAGGAGTGCAAGAAGGAACTAGGGATAACGATGTGTGTGTTTTTAAATCATCTCATTACTAAAAGATCCCCTTTACCTGCAGAATCAGAGCATCAAGCGCCCCAGATCATTTTACTTTTTCCAAAAAGTAGAAATCCAAGGCCGTCTTGCCAGCGAGGCCCAGTCCTGGGGGTTCAGTCATTGCTGCTCCCCTCCCGGGGTACCGCGGTCCAGCGCAGGCCGAGGGAGCTGGGGGTGGCGGGCCGAGCCGGGGCGCAGCGCCCGCAGCTCCCGGGCTGGAGCCGCTAATGTTTAACCGCCCGCGGCCCCTGGCACGGATCAACGGGTCCCTCGGACTGCACGGACGCGCCCCACCCGCGCCCCTCCCGGCCCGAATTCTTGACATAGTTTTCCCAGCGGCCCGGCTCACCTGGGGGTCCCGGAGCCCGGGCAGCGGGCAGAGGTCCCGAGGCGCCGGCTCCCCTTCTCGCCCGGCCCAGCCTGCCGGCTCGCTCCCGCGCCCCGGCCCTTCCCGGAATCCTCGCCGCCACGCGGGCCGGGATGCGCCCTCAGCCTCGAGCGGCCCCGGCGCTGTGGGGGGCGGGGGACCCAGCCGGCCCGTCCCCCCGGCGCTGCCGACCTGGGGGCCGGGGCGAGAGATGCCCGCAGCTCCGGGCCTGGGGTCTCCGACGCCTCCCGCTCCCACGACAGCAGCCCCACCCCACCCCAGGGAGGGTGGAGCCTCTCCCCAGCCCCCTGGGAGGAGCTATTTTTAGGCCTGTTATTGAGGGAGGAGGAGGGAATGCCACGTTTAATCCGTTAGGAAAATCCCGGATCCAAGTGAATGGCTCCTAGGCCTTGCTGAGAGGCCGGGCCGCGTGGAGCCCAGGGAGGCTGGACGGGGTTCTGTCTACACACACACACACACACACACCACACACACACTGCCCCCGGTTCAACCGCTGGCCTGCTGAAAGCTGGGGGAAGCTGCAGCCTTCCGGACAGACAGCCCAGCCCACCCGCCTTAAACTAAAGGGACCTTCTTGGGTTTCTGATCCTGCCAGACGCTAGTCCTTTGAGTGAGTCCCAGGCCTGGTCAGATGGTAACCAGCCCCCTAGCCCCCAACCTTCGGGCTTGCCCTGTGGATCCAGCTGTGAAACCCAGGACCAAAGAATTCTTTCCTGATAATCAGTCCCTGATCCCTTCCTACAGCCAGTCGTTGCTTTAGTTAGACTCAGATTTCTGAGAATTTTTTTAAGTCTTTCTCCAACCCCAGCCTCAATCTGCCAAACTCTGTATCTTGGGGCAGCCAAAGCGAAAGTGGATGGGAACAAGTGTTGGTAAAGATGTGGAGAAATTGGAACCCATGTACATTGCTGGTGGGAATACAAATGGTACAGCTGCTATGGAAAAGAGAAAGGCTGTTCCTCAAAAATTTAAACATAGAATTACCATATGATCCAGCAATTCCATTTCTGGATATATACTCAAAAGAATTGAAAGCAGGGACTCAGATATTTGTACACACATGTTCATAACAGCATTATTCACAATAGCCAAAAGGTGGAAACAATCCAACCTAAGTGTCCACCAACATAGGAATGGATAAACAAAATGTGGTACATACATACAATGAAATATTATTGAGCCTTAAAAAAGGAATGAAATTCTGATACTTGCTACAACATGAATGAACCTTGAAAATATTATGCTAAGTGAAGTAAGCCAGATGCAAAAGGACAAATATTGTATGTTTCCTCTTACACGAGGCACCTAGAATAGTCAAATTCATAGAGATATTCCAGAAAGTAGAATAGTGGTTACTGGGGGCAGGAGGGAGCAGGGGGACAGGACAGGACAGGACTGTTAGGGAATAGAGAGTTGTTTAATGGGCACAGAGCTTCAGTTTGGGATGGTGAAAAAATTCTAGAGATGGATAGTGGTGTTGGTTGTACAACAGTGCAAATGTATTTAATGCCACTGGATTGTACACTTGAAAACAGTTGAAATGGTAAATTTTATGATATGTATATTTTACCATAATTTTTTAAATTTAAAATAAAAGTGGCTTGGGCAGGGACCAGAACGAAGTAGGGATATTGGTGAGCCATCTACTCTGATGGGGAATCTTGCTCCTCCTCACCTCTCCTGGTCAGGGCACCCTCTTCAGTGTAGGGGTTCCTGCTGCCCACTAGAGGGGAGAGAAGAGTCCAGGCTCTGGACTCAAAGACGTACTTACATTCCACACTCCCAAGCTACATAACTCTGGGAAAGTCACTTAACTTCTCCATAAAATGGAAAAAATCAACTCTAGCTAGCAGGGTCATTATGAGAACCAAATGAGTTCAAGCATCTGCAGGCTCATCCCAGGGCTTAGCGGTCAGCAGTGCGTCCTCCCAAGTTCAGTCAAGTGTGAAATCTGTGGGGGCTTGGAGCACATACTTCTCAGCTCTCTTCCCACTGTGTCCTTAAGTGTGCAGAAAGTAGCTCTGAGGGTACCTGTGTGCTTTTGTCTGTGTCATTTCCACTCGCCTCAATTTCCCCATATGTAAATGGGGTACCCTCTTTCCAGGGTGGATGTGAGAAAGTGGACTTGACATGCACCCAGGTCCACCTTGTCGATAACACCAAAAGCTAAAGACTCCATCTTTGGCCAACCAAGACCTCCCATGCATGGAGCCCTCACACCCTTCCGTTTTTGGGCCACAGTTCAACATTCAACACAGCCAAGGGTTACTGAGGGCCTACTGTGTGCCGGGCTCTGTTCTAGGGCCTGAGGATACCAAGAGTTTATGGAGGACTAAATCACTCAGCAATGGGAAGCTGTCACCCTCTGCTGTGCCACTTCTGCCACAACAGAGATTTGGCACCAGTGGGGACAGGTGTATAGTCCATGACACAGCAACAGGCCAAAGCAGACTGGCCCTAGATGGCTAGTCTAGGGGACATTCCTTTCACCCAGAACAGCTGGGCCATATCTTTTGGATGGGAGGGCAGGAGGATGGGTTCCCAATATCCGCAGTTTCCATCTTGCCCTGTAGCCCCTCACCCCTTCCTCAGGCCACTGCCAGACACCTGCTCTCTGACCCAGCACAGACACCGTCACAGCTGGTCTCCTTCCTACACTTAGGGATATGTCAGGAAAACAGTGAGACCAGTGTGCTGATTGATGGTGGACTTAGATTCTAGGCAGCCCACAATAGGAGTGCCCTCTGCTGTCAACTGCTGGCATCACACCTTGGAAACCAGCTCCAGATCCCACTTTCCTGAAGGGCACCTGAGGTGTATGGGGCAGGTCCCCAACGCTGGGATGTTGGCTGCTAATGGTCCTTGAGGTGATTTTAGGTCAAAGGTGTATTGTTGGGTTTTCACAGCATTGATATATAGATAGACAGACAGGCATATAGTCAGAGGGGGGTTTTACATAAAAATCTGGTTTGCTGGTTTATTTTGAAAAACCTGAGCCTCTGGCAACAGAAAGCCTGTGGTCTCACATGTCAAAAATG